TTTTTTTCTATTTCTTTTGCACATTATCCTTTCGTTTATGGCTCGAAAAACTTTTGTCAAAGTTATAAACGAGCCTTTCTTATAGGTATGACACAAACTTGACCTCAGAAATCCCGCAAAACCTTCGCTCTTGTGAAATCCAGTTACAGGGTCACCGTATAGATGGCGCTAGAGTGCCAGTGTGTTTTCTCGTTTTAAGAAATTTTAAGAGGCTCAACTCTCTCGGTTGTGCTCGATTGCAAGAGTGTGAACAGGCCTTTAAACGCGGATACGCACAAAAGCTCAATTTCGCGGACAGATAAGTCGCATGGTCGAGGTATGTCAGGCAGCTTAAAATTACTCTCGGTGGAACAATTCTGTAGTCATCGCCGCTTTTTTTATTTGATCAAAACCGATTAAAGTCTATTATCATCTCTTCAGAGCCCATAGTTTCGGTTCTGAACGAAATCTCCGAAACAAAAGTTTGACGTGAAAAGAACACAAAACACCGGGAAAACAAAACTATTGTTTGCAAGTTTATGTGCACCGGCTACACTTAACCATCGCAGTTCAAATACCTATAAAAGTGGGCCTTCAACAAAAAAAAATTTGTTAAATTAAATGCGCCACCCGTTCAAGCGGCCCGGCTGAGCCGACGCGACCTGGACCCAGCCGCCATGTTTGTTTGGTGGTGGCGCCCCCTATAGGTCGCTGGAGTCGCGAATTTTAGTCATTAAAGGGCCCATGAAATGGATTTTGGGTTGGGATAAATCATTTTAGATTGGGATTTCACTAATAGCACATCGTTCAGTGGGCCAAAAAAAAAAAAAAAAGGTAGAAAGTCAAAAGCCTGACTTTCAGTGCGAAAGTTTGAAAACACAGCGGACTATTCCGTACCTCCTCCCCTTCGTAACCTCTCTGCCTTTTTACTGTGATACATCCGCGGTCCCAAAAGCGCGTCATCAGGTCCAAACGCACGTCACACGAAACCGGACCTCCCTTGTTCCCTTCACCCCTAAGCTGACATTGTGGTGGAAGCTACGTGCTTGCCGGACCAATCAGCCGCCTCCCTTTCATCACCTCACCTCATTCTCTGCACGTGGGTATGCGCGAAAAAGCGTGATCACTTGGCAAGTGTGGCTGGCCCAACGAGCACGTAGCTTCCACAGCACTGTCAGCTTTGGGGTGAACGGGTTGGGGAAAGCAACTTTTGTCTGAATTTTGAGCGACGGGCTAATCTTCTAGGGGGACAATGGCTCTGTCCGGGTACACAAACCGGATTCCGAGCAAGAGGGGCCTCCCCTCTTTTCGTCTTCTTGAACTGTTTGGTGGAATGCGCGATTTATGAGTTGAGGAGGAAAGCGAAACAGGAAAAAGTTGGAAAAGCGTTTCATGACCCCTTTAGGGCCTGGTTAGGGCACTACATAAGGGGGGGGATTGACTTCAACCATACAACAGTTTAGAGCCCTGCACGGGCCGGATTTTCTGGGCCCGGCCCGACTCGGCCCGGCAGAGGCCCGGCCCGGGCCCAGCCCGAGCCCGACAGAATATTTAATTTCTAGGCCCGGCCCGACCCGGCTTGGAAGAGACATAGCCCGGGCCCGGCCCGTCAGAATTTTTAGACAGAAGTTCGAGCCCGGCCCGAGCCCGACAAAAATGTTTTAAATATAAGCCTGAGTCTGGTCCGAGCCCGACAGTTTATATTCATGAGCCCAAAAAAGTTTGCAGGCTTTAACCTAAAGACTGTCTAAGCATAAAGCGAGCATATTTTATTTAAATTTCTTCTGGACTTGGAACGAGCTTTTTTGGCACAATCAATATCCCGACTTGGTGTATTTTCGAGAATATTGGAGAAATATGAAGTGTATAAGTGATTTAAAGAAAAAAAAAAGTGCCGTATTTTTTATTTATGCATTTCTTGAAGAGATATCAAGCTTTTCGTTGTTCGATTCGTTTCAGAAAACTTTTCTCTCTACATGTTTTTGTGAAGAAATAATCAGAACCACGCTAGTGCATATTCAAAAAGCTGTATAAGCATAAAAATATCTAGTTAGCTTATCTTTGGCGGCATAGTAAGGCTCCCTGCACAAAAGCAAAATCAAGCTCACATTGTTTTTCTTGTGTTCAGTTTGAAACGCAGAGGAAAAATACACTCATGTTGTACCCTGCGACTGGAGTGCCCTCAATTTTTTGACCGTACTTTCCCACTATGGTGGAGGAATCCATACGTTTCCTTTTATCCACGTGAAAGCTTTCCAAGTGCAAGACGTCTTTCTTTTTTTTTTTAACAGCAGCTTAGTAATTTTGCATTTCACATGTTTGTTTTCATTGAACCGAGAAGATCAATGAGCAGCTTTTTTGTTATCAACAATTTAAAATTTGTGGCACACGACTGCCCAGCCACGGCCCGGAAAATATTTTGTTCAAGCCCGAGCCCGGCCCGCGCCCGAGAAAATGCGTGCTACCCGGCCCGAGCCCGGCCCGCGGGCCGGGCCGGGCTCGGGTTTTCGGGCTGGCCCGGGCCCGTGCAGTGCTCTACAACAGTTACATAGAACAGTAAAGGCCCTGTCACACTGAGGCAACACGACGGCAACAGCAACACAACACGTTGTCCAACAGTCGGGCAACTTGTTGCTCGCTCCCCGTGTTGTCCGACAAAGCTGTCACACCTTGGCAACAGCACGACAACATGGACGACAACTAAAATGTTGCCTCGGTATGACAGCTTTCGGCAACAAAAACAGCAGCAACTTGTGTTGGACAACGAGTGTTGCCCTGATCGCTGGCTGAGCGAATTTCGGGCCGGCAACACGACAACATAGATAGATTCGATGGTAGAGTTAGTCCCCTATCAATAAAGTCTTACTCAAATAAAGGCTTGGAAAACGTTATTTAACAATAATTAGGGCTGGCGTGCAGCTAAAATATTTTCGATTAATGTTTTTTGTTGCGTAGTTACGGAAAGCGATTTTCGAAATGGTCACAGCTACGGTCGTGAACGTTCAGACTGGTTTTGAAATTAGAACTCCCGAGAGACCAGCGCACATTACGGATAGTGAAATAAAATGGCATGCCTACTCACCCACTAATAAAGTATGATAAAAATAATCCAGAAAACCTAAGATTAAAAAATCGAAGCATAAAACGACCACTCTGATCATGATTGTTGATGCTTGGAACTTGGAAACAGCCGCTACCAGACACCTGATTTGTTTTAAAAATACCCAGGACGTTTTGGGGGAATGAAGCGATCACGTAGCAGCGGTAGTCCAGTAGACAGCGTTGGAAAATATTTATTTCACCGATTGTTATGAAGGCCGATGGTGTCGGTGTCGCAGTTTTGAAGCACTGTCAGTTCAGCTCAACACCACGTTACAAAAGACACTTTGGGGTACTTCCGGTGCTAACGCAATTTTACAGTAGAAATAGGAATTGCATGAAAGAACCGGACAGAATCACTTCATACGGTGGCGTAAATCCCGAAAATACATCAGCGATGTCACTTTCCTCGGTTAGGGCTATCTGCTTTGTCAGTGAATGAAGAACATTTCGATAAAATAAAGAGCGAACAATACTCCCTGTGTCAAGTTTTCTAATTAGCCACTGGTTAATGTCGTACCGTGGTAATACCCGGCCCTTCGAACGCACTAGCACTTTGTAGAGTCACATTTCCAGCGATTCCGCGCCGCACACGAACGAAGGTAAACAATCAAGATGGCGGAGGTTTCCCCGTGTTGTCCTCGCCGTCAGCGCGGTGTGACAGGGTTGTCGGAGAACAAATCGGGCAACACGGTTGCCGGGCGGCAGCAACATGTTGCCCGACTGTTGTTGTTGCCTCGATGTGACAGGGTCGCCGGCAACACGACTTCCCCGTGTTGCCGGATAGAGTTGTCCAACTGTTGCCTCAGTGTGACAGGGCCTTAACAAGATCCACAAAAAAGTGAAAGCCGTTTACAACTCCCTGTGACGCCGATTTGGAGTGCAGCTCTTGAGGAGGAGGGAAGGGTACTGAGGGGAGGGTAAACCCCTCCTCCTCCTCCTTCTCCTCCTCCTCCTCTCCTCATTCTTTATTATGCTCTGGGGGGGTCACCTGACCTCGGGAGAGGGGGTCGCTTGACCTCGGGGGGGGGGGGGGGGTGTCACGTGACTCTCGGGGGGTCACGTGACCTTGGGAGGGGTCACGTGACCTTGGGGTGACCTTGGTTACGCCTACGGCGATGGCGCTCAAGCCGGAAACAAGCTCCTAAAAGCTGCGCTCTAAAATAAATGCAGCAGAAGTTACTCTACATTAGGCTGATTTAAACAGGTTGGTAGAAGATAATAAAACTGCTGCGTCGGTGACGCCAGCAACAAAGGGTGGCAGCTGGTTCCATTCAGCGATTGCATGAGGAAGGAAGGTTTGTCCATTAAACACATTAGTTTTACTGGAGATTCGTTTAGTTGGACAACAGTTGTACAGGTGGTTGGATATTCTATAGGGGGCCTGAAAAGAGGGCACTTTTGAGCTCTGGGCAATGGTAATAAATTTTATAAAGAGGGCAAGGGCAACCTGGGCTTCGGGTTTGAAGGGGTGATAGTCCAAGTTGCCTTCTTTGGGAAAACATACTGGTGGAGTAGTCATGCGATGAGTCTGGTGCACTTAAGCAGTTGTACATCGCTGCTGCAGTATGCACGTTAAAGACTCCAGGGCCAGAAGTCTTACTGTGCTGGCTAAACCTCTCATCTATGCAGATGCAGCGGACGGTTATTGGAGCAGGCTAATTTTCTCCGTCTAAGGACACATTTTTAAAGATGTGCTTCTCATATTTTTGTCACTTTGAATGTATTGCATTGGTATGTTTCGTTTTTGTCATTTTTGTTGTATGCCTTTTCTGTATTGGCATTTATATAAAAATGCTGGCAGTAGTATATACAAATAAATAAATAACAAAAATACATGCAACAGAATTGCTCTGTTTGCTTAAAACAAATGTAATTATATGTCTCGCTTGTTTTCTTTTTCCTACTTGCTGAACGCGCAGATTACACGGATGTGACAAGGGTTACATTTCACTTGGATACAGGTCTGTGCTGCTTTAAACTTGCAATTTCGAAGTTTGATCGCCGGGGGCACGTTTAATGCCATCACATCCTTTGCAGAGCCACAGGCGTCCGAAGAGAACCTGGAATACGACATTGTACCAGTTGCCGTTAAGATTGGTCCGTTTTAGTGCAATTTTATGGCTAGGTGCCATTCTAAATTTTGAACCACCTCTACATGCAGAGCCACAAAATCCGAGGGAAGTCGGCCCTGAGGCAGCTTCCGTGGAGGCAGGTGCGTAGCCCCTCTATTTCTCTCGCAGTTTAGTATCTCCATTTGCCGTGAGATTCAGCCATCACATTCAATGTGGTGAAGAGCACCTCTGTACACCAATTTATGCCAACTTGATGGTCCATTCTTTTAGTGCAATTCTATGGCGAGATGCCATTCTAAATTTCCAACCACCTCTACATGCAGAGCCACAAGATCTGAGGGAATTTGGCGCTGAGGCGGCTTCCGTGAAGACAGGTGCGTAGCCTTGCCGTTTCTCTTGCAGATTAGGATCTGCATTGGCCGTGAGATTTAGCCATCATGTGTGCTGTGGTGAAGGGAGCACCTGTACACACCATTTTACTCCAACTTGATGGTCCATTCTTTTAGTGCAATGATGGCTAGGTGCATTCTAAATTTTGAACCACCTCTACATGCAGAGCCACAAGATCCGAGGGAAGTCGGTGCTGGGGCGGTTTCCGTAGAGACAGGTGCGTAGCCCCACTATTTCTCTCGCAGTTTAGGATCTCCATTTGCCGTGAGATTCAGCCATCACGTTCAATGTGGTGAAGAGCACCTCTGTACACCAATTTATGCCAACTTGATGGTCCATTCTTTTAGTGCAATGATGGCTAGGTGCCATTCTAAATTTTGATCCAGCACTACATGCAGAGCCACAAGATCCGAGGAAAGTCGGCGCTGATGCAGCTTCCGTGGGGACAGGTGCGTAGCCCCACTATTTCTCTCGCAGTTTAGAATCTCCATTTGCCGTGAGATTTAGCCATCACATTCAATGTGGTGAAGAGCACCTGTGTACACCAATTTATGCCAACTTGATGGTCCATTCTTTTAGTGCAATGATGGCTAGGTGCCATTCTAAATTTTGATCCAGCACTACATGCAGAGCCACAAGATCCGAGGAAAGTCGGTGCTGATGCAGCTTCCGTGGGGACAGGTGCGTAGCCCCTCTATTTCTCTCGCAGTTTAGTATCTCCATTTGCCGTGAGATTCAGCCATCACATTCAATGTGGGGAAGAGCACCTCTGTACACCAATTTATGCCAACTTGATGGTCCATTCTTTTAGTGCAATTCTATGGCGAGATGCCATTCTAAATTTCCAACCACCTCTACATGCAGAGCCACAAGATCTGAAGGAATTTGGCGCTGAGGCGGCTTCCGTGAAGACAGGTGCGTAGCCTTGCCGTTTCTCTTGCAGATTAGGATCTGCATTGGCCGTGAGATTTAGCCATCATGTGTGCTGTGGTGAAGGGAGCACCTGTACTCACCATTTTACTCCAACTTGATGGTCCATTCTTTTAGTGCAATGATGGCTAGGTGCATTCTAAATTTTGAACCACCTCTACATGCAGAGCCACAAGATCCGAGGGAAGTCGGCGCTGATGCAGCTTCCGTGGGGACAGGTGCGTAGCCCCACTATTTCTCTCGCAGTTTAGGATCTCCATTTGCCGTGAGATTCAGCCGTCACATTCAATGTGGTGAAGAGCACCTGTGTACACCAATTTATGCCAACTTGATGGTCCATTCTTTTAGTGCAATGATGGCTAGGTGCCATTCTAAATTTTGATCCAGCACTACATGCAGAGCCACAAGATCCGAGGAAAGTCGGCGCTGATGCAGCTTCCGTGGGGACAGGTGCGTAGCCCCACTATTTCTCTCGCAGTTTAGAATCTCCATTTGCCGTGAGATTTAGCCATCACATTCAATGTGGGGAAGAGCACCTCTGTACACCAATTTATGCCAACTTGATGGTCCATTCTTTTAGTGCAATTCTATGGCGAGATGCCATTCTAAATTTCCAACCACCTCTACATGCAGAGCCACAAGATCTGAAGGAATTTGGCGCTGAGGCGGCTTCCGTGAAGACAGGTGCGTAGCCTTGCCGTTTCTCTTGCAGATTAGGATCTGCATTGGCCGTGAGATTTAGCCATCATGTGTGCTGTGGTGAAGGGAGCACCTGTACACACCATTTTACTCCAACTTGATGGTCCATTCTTTTAGTGCAATGATGGCTAGGTGCATTCTAAATTTTGAACCACCTCTACATGCAGAGCCACAAGATCCGAGGGAAGTCGGTGCTGGGGCGGTTTCCGTAGAGACAGGTGCGTAGCCCCACTATTTCTCTCGCAGTTTAGGATCTCCATTTGCCGTGAGATTCAGCCATCACGTTCAATGTGGTGAAGAGCACCTCTGTACACCAATTTATGCCAACTTGATGGTCCATTCTTTTAGTGCAATGATGGCTAGGTGCCATTCTAAATTTTGATCCAGCACTACATGCAGAGCCACAAGATCCGAGGAAAGTCGGCGCTGATGCAGCTTCCGTGGGGACAGGTGCGTAGCCCCACTATTTCTCTCGCAGTTTAGAATCTCCATTTGCCGTGAGATTTAGCCATCACATTCAATGTGGGGAAGAGCACCTCTGTACACCAATTTATGCCAACTTGATGGTCCATTCTTTTAGTGCAATTCTATGGCGAGATGCCATTCTAAATTTCCAACCACCTCTACATGCAGAGCCACAAGATCTGAAGGAATTTGGCGCTGAGGCGGCTTCCGTGAAGACAGGTGCGTAGCCTTGCCGTTTCTCTTGCAGATTAGGATCTGCATTGGCCGTGAGATTTAGCCATCATGTGTGCTGTGGTGAAGGGAGCACCTGTACACACCATTTTACTCCAACTTGATGGTCCATTCTTTTAGTGCAATGATGGCTAGGTGCATTCTAAATTTTGAACCACCTCTACATGCAGAGCCACAAGATCCGAGGGAAGTCGGCGCTGATGCAGCTTCCGTGGGGACAGGTGCGTAGCCCCACTATTTCTCTCGCAGTTTAGGATCTCCATTTGCCGTGAGATTCAGCCGTCACATTCAATGTGGTGAAGAGCACCTGTGTACACCAATTTATGCCAACTTGATGGTCCATTCTTTTAGTGCAATGATGGCTAGGTGCCATTCTAAATTTTGATCCAGCACTACATGCAGAGCCACAAGATCCGAGGAAAGTCGGCGCTGATGCAGCTTCCGTGGGGACAGGTGCGTAGCCCCACTATTTCTCTCGCAGTTTAGTATCTCCATTTGCCGTGAGATTCAGCCATCACATTCAATGTGGGGAAGAGCACCTCTGTACACCAATTTATGCCAACTTGATGGTCCATTCTTTTAGTGCAATTCTATGGCGAGATGCCATTCTAAATTTCCAACCACCTCTACATGCAGAGCCACAAGATCTGAAGGAATTTGGCGCTGAGGCGGCTTCCGTGAAGACAGGTGCGTAGCCTTGCCGTTTCTCTTGCAGATTAGGATCTGCATTGGCCGTGAGATTTAGCCATCATGTGTGCTGTGGTGAAGGGAGCACCTGTACACACCATTTTACTCCAACTTGATGGTCCATTCTTTTAGTGCAATGATGGCTAGGTGCATTCTAAATTTTGAACCACCTCTACATGCAGAGCCACAAGATCCGAGGGAAGTCGGTGCTGGGGCGGTTTCCGTAGAGACAGGTGCGTAGCCCCACTATTTCTCTCGCAGTTTAGGATCTCCATTTGCCGTGAGATTCAGCCATCACGTTCAATGTGGTGAAGAGCACCTCTGTACACCAATTTATGCCAACTTGATGGTCCATTCTTTTAGTGCAATGATGGCTAGGTGCCATTCTAAATTTTGATCCAGCACTACATGCAGAGCCACAAGATCCGAGGAAAGTCGGCGCTGATGCAGCTTCCGTGGGGACAGGTGCGTAGCCCCACTATTTCTCTCGCAGTTTAGAATCTCCATTTGCCGTGAGATTTAGCCATCACATTCAATGTGGTGAAGAGCACCTGTGTACACCAATTTATGCCAACTTGATGGTCCATTCTTTTAGTGCAATGATGGCTAGGTGCCATTCTAAATTTTGATCCAGCACTACATGCAGAGCCACAAGATCCGAGGAAAGTCGGCGCTGATGCAGCTTCCGTGGGGACAGGTGCGTAGCCCCACTATTTCTCTCGCAGTTTAGGATCTCCATTTGCCGTGAGATTCAGCCATCACGTTCAGTGGGGTGAAGAGCACCTGTGTACACCAATTTATGCCAACTTGATGGTCCATTCTTTTAGTGCAATGATGGCTAGGTGCCATTCTAAATTTTGATCCAGCACTACATGCAGAGCCACAAGATCCGAGGAAAGTCGGCGCTGATGCAGCTTCCGTGGGGACAGGTGCGTAGCCCCACTATTTCTCTCGCAGTTTAGGATCTCCATTTGCCGTGAGATTCAGCCATCACGTTCAGTGGGGTGAAGAGCACCTGTGTACACCAATTTATGCCAACTTGATGGTCCATTCTTTTAGTGCAATGATGGCTAGGTGCCATTCTAAATTTTGATCCAGCACTACATGCAGAGCCACAAGATCCGAGGAAAGTCGGCGCTGATGCAGCTTCCGTGGGGACAGGTGCGTAGCCCCACTATTTCTCTCGCAGTTTAGAATCTCCATTTGCCGTGAGATTTAGCCATCACATTCAATGTGGTGAAGAGCACCTGTGTACACCAATTTATGCCAACTTGATGGTCCATTCTCTTAGTGCAATGATGGCTAGGTGCCATTCTAAATTTTGATCCAGCACTACATGCAGAGCCACAAGATCCGAGGAAAGTCGGCGCTGATGCAGCTCCCGTGGGGACAGGTGCGTAGCCCCACTATTTCTCTCGCAGTTTAGAATCTCCATTTGCCGTGAGATTTAGCCATCACATTCAATGTGGTGAAGAGCACCTGTGTACACCAATTTATGCCAACTTGATGGTCCATTCTCTTAGTGCAATGATGGCTAGGTGCATTCTAAATTTTGATCCAGCACTACATGCAGAGCCACAAGATCCGAGGAAAGTCGGCGCTGATGCAGCTTCCGTGGGGACAGGTGCGTAGCCCCACTATTTCTCTCGCAGTTTAGAATCTCCATTTGCCGTGAGATTTAGCCATCACATTCAATGTGGTGAAGAGCACCTGTGTACACCAATTTATGCCAACTTGATGGTCCATTCTTTTAGTGCAATGATGGCTAGGTGCCATTCTAAATTTTGATCCAGCACTACATGCAGAGCCACAAGATCCGAGGAAAGTCGGCGCTGATGCAGCTTCCGTGGGGACAGGTGCGTAGCCCCACTATTTCTCTCGCAGTTTAGAATCTCCATTTGCCGTGAGATTTAGCCATCACATTCAATGTGGTGAAGAGCACCTGTGTACACCAATTTATGCCAACTTGATGGTCCATTCTCTTAGTGCAATGATGGCTAGGTGCATTCTAAATTTTGATCCAGCACTACATGCAGAGCCACAAGATCCGAGGAAAGTCGGTGCTGATGCAGCTTCCGTGGGGACAGGTGCGTAGCCCCACTATTTCTCTCGCAGTTTAGGATCTCCATTTGCCGTGAGATTTAGCCGTCACATTCAATGTGGTGAAGAGCACCTGTGTACACCAATTTATGCCAACTTGATGGTCCATTCTTTTAGTGCAATGATGGCTAGGTGCCATTCTAAATTTTGATCCAGCACTACATGCAGAGCCACAAGATCCGAGGAAAGTCGGTGCTGATGCAGCTTCCGTGGGGACAGGTGCGTAGCCCCTCTATTTCTCTCGCAGTTTAGAATCTCCATTTGCCGTGAGATTTAGCCATCACATTCAATGTGGGGAAGAGCACCTCTGTACACCAATTTATGCCAACTTGATGGTCCATTCTTTTAGTGCAATTCTATGGCGAGATGCCATTCTAAGTTTCCAACCACCTCTACATGCAGAGCCACAAGATCTGAAGGAATTTGGCGCTGAGGCGGCTTCCGTGAAGACAGGTGCGTAGCCTTGCCGTTTCTCTTGCAGATTAGGATCTGCATTGGCCGTGAGATTTAGCCATCATGTGTGCTGTGGTGAAGGGAGCACCTGTACACACCATTTTACTCCAACTTGATGGTCCATTCTTTTAGTGCAATGATGGCTAGGTGCATTCTAAATTTTGAACCACCTCTACATGCAGAGCCACAAGATCCGAGGGAAGTCGGCGCTGATGCAGCTTCCGTGGGGACAGGTGCGTAGCCCCACTATTTCTCTCGCAGTTTAGGATCTCCATTTGCCGTGAGATTCAGCCGTCACATTCAATGTGGTGAAGAGCACCTGTGTACACCAATTTATGCCAACTTGATGGTCCATTCTTTTAGTGCAATGATGGCTAGGTGCATTCTAAATTTTGATCCAGCACTACATGCAGAGCCACAAGATCCGAGGAAAGTGGGTGCTGATGCAGCTTCCGTGGGGAAAGGTGCGTAGCCCCACTATTTCTCGCAGTTTAGGATCTCCATTTGCCGTGAGATTCAGCCATCACGTTCAATGTGGTGAAGAGCACCTGTGTACACCAATTTATGCCAACTTGATGGTCCATTCTTTTAGTGCAATGATGGCTAGGTGCATTCTAAATTTTGATCCAGCACTACATGCAGAGCCACAAGATCCGAGGAAAGTCGGCGCTGATGCAGCTTCCGTGGGGACAGGTGCGTAGCCCCACTATTTCTCTCGCAGTTTAGGATCTCCATTTGCCGTGAGATTCAGCCATCACGTTCAGTGGGGTGAAGAGCACCTGTGTACACCAATTTATGCCAACTTGATGGTCCATTCTTTTAGTGCAATGATGGCTAGGTGCCATTCTAAATTTTGATCCAGCACTACATGCAGAGCCACAAGATCCGAGGAAAGTCGGCGCTGATGCAGCTTCCGTGGGGACAGGTGCGTAGCCCCACTATTTCTCTCGCAGTTTAGAATCTCCATTTGCCGTGAGATTTAGCCATCACATTCAATGTGGTGAAGAGCACCTGTGTACACCAATTTATGCCAACTTGATGGTCCATTCTCTTAGTGCAATGATGGCTAGGTGCATTCTAAATTTTGATCCAGCACTACATGCAGAGCCACAAGATCCGAGGAAAGTCGGCGCTGATGCAGCTTCCGTGGGGACAGGTGCGTAGCCCCACTATTTCTCTCGCAGTTTAGGATCTCCATTTGCCGTGAGATTTAGCCGTCACATTCAATGTGGTGAAGAGCACCTGTGTACACCAATTTATGCCAACTTGATGGTCCATTCTTTTAGTGCAATGATGGCTAGGTGCCATTCTAAATTTTGATCCAGCACTACATGCAGAGCCACAAGATCCGAGGAAAGTCGGTGCTGATGCAGCTTCCGTGGGGACAGGTGCGTAGCCCCTCTATTTCTCTCGCAGTTTAGAATCTCCATTTGCCGTGAGATTTAGCCATCACATTCAATGTGGGGAAGAGCACCTCTGTACACCAATTTATGCCAACTTGATGGTCCATTCTTTTAGTGCAATTCTATGGCGAGATGCCATTCTAAGTTTCCAACCACCTCTACATGCAGAGCCACAAGATCTGAAGGAATTTGGCGCTGAGGCGGCTTCCGTGAAGACAGGTGCGTAGCCTTGCCGTTTCTCTTGCAGATTAGGATCTGCATTGGCCGTGAGATTTAGCCATCATGTGTGCTGTGGTGAAGGGAGCACCTGTACTCACCATTTTACTCCAACTTGATGGTCCATTCTTTTAGTGCAATAATGGCTAGGTGCATTCTAAATTTTGAACCACCTCTACATGCAGAGCCACAAGATCCGAGGGAAGTCGGCGCTGATGCAGCTTCCGTGGGGACAGGTGCGTAGCCCCACTATTTCTCTCGCAGTTTAGGATCTCCATTTGCCGTGAGATTCAGCCGTCACATTCAATGTGGTGAAGAGCACCTGTGTACACCAATTTATGCCAACTTGATGGTCCATTCTTTTAGTGCAATGATGGCTAGGTGCATTCTAAATTTTGATCCAGCACTACATGCAGAGCCACAAGATCCGAGGAAAGTGGGTGCTGATGCAGCTTCCGTGGGGAAAGGTGCGTAGCCCCACTATTTCTCGCAGTTTAGGATCTCCATTTGCCGTGAGATTCAGCCATCACGTTCAATGTGGTGAAGAGCACCTGTGTACACCAATTTATGCCAACTTGATGGTCCATTCTTTTAGTGCAATGATGGCTAGGTGCATTCTAAATTTTGATCCAGCACTACATGCAGAGCCACAAGATCCGAGGAAAGTCGGCGCTGATGCAGCTTCCGTGGGGACAGGTGCGTAGCCCCACTATTTCTCTCGCAGTTTAGGATCTCCATTTGCCGTGAGATTTAGCCGTCACATTCAATGTGGTGAAGAGCACCTGTGTACACCAATTTACGCCAACTTGATGGTCCATTCTTTTAGTGCAATGATGGCTAGGTGCATTCTAAATTTTGATCCAGCACTACATGCAGAGCCACAAGATCCGAGGAAAGTGGGTGCTGATGCAGCTTCCGTGGGGACAGGTGCGTAGCCCCACTATTTCTCTCGCAGTTTAGGATCTCCATTTGCCGTGAGATTCAGCCATCACGTTCAATGTGGTGAAGAGCACCTGTGTACACCAATTTATGCCAACTTGATGGTCCATTCTTTTAGTGCAATGATGGCTAGGTGCCATTCTAAATTTTGATCCAGCACTACATGCAGAGCCACAAGATCCGAGGAAAGTCGGCGCTGATGCAGCTTCCGTGGGGACAGGTGCGTAGCCCCACTATTTCTCTCGCAGTTTAGGATCTCCATTTGCCATGAGATTCAGCCATCACGTTCAATGTGGTGAAGAGCACCTGTGTACACCAATTTATGCCAACTTGATGGTTCATTCTTTGAGTGCAATGATGGCTAGGTGCCATTCTAAATTTTGATCCAGCACTACATGCAGAGCCACAAGATCCGAGGAAAGTCGGCGCTGATGCAGCTTCCGTGGGGACAGGTGCGTAGCCCCACTATTTCTCTCGCAGTTTAGAATCTCCATTTGCCGTGAGATTTAGCCATCACATTCAATGTGGTGAAGAGCACCTGTGTACACCAATTTATGCCAACTTGATGGTCCATTCTTTGAGTGCAATGATGGCTAGGTGCCATTCTAAATTTTGATCCAGCACTACATGCAGAGCCACAAGATCCGAGGGAAGTCGGCGCTGATGCAGCTTCCGTGGGGACAGGTGCGTAGCCCCACTATTTCTCTCGCAGTTTAGAATCTCCATTTGCCGTGAGATTTAGCCATCACATTCAATGTGGTGAAGAGCACCTGTGTACACCAATTTATGCCAACTTGATGGTCCATTCTTTTAGTGCAATGATGGCTAGGTGCCATTCTAAATTTTGATCCAGCACTACATGCAGAGCCACAAGATCCGAGGAAAGTCGGTGTTGATGCAGCTTCCGTGGGGACAGGTGCGTAGCCCCACTATTTCTCTCGCAGTTTAGGATCTCCATTAGCCGTGAGATTTAGCCATCACATTCAATGTGGTGAAGAGCACCTGTGTACACCAATTTATGCCAACTTGATGGTCCATTCTCTTAGTGCAATTATGGCTAGGTGCCATTCTAAATTTTGATCCAGCACTACACGCAGAGCCACAAGATCCGAGGAAAGTCGGCGCTGAAGCAGCTCCCGTGGGGACAGGTGCGTAGCCCCACTATTTCTCTCGCAGTTTAGGATCTCCATTTGCCGAGAGATTTAGCCATCACATTCAATGTGGTGAAGAGCACCTGTGTACACCAATTTATGCCAACTTGATGGTCCATTCTCTTAGTGCAATGATGGCTAGGTGCCATTCTAAATTTTGATCCAGCACTACATGCAGAGCCACAAGATCCGAGGAAAGTCGGCGCTGATGCAGCTCCCGTGGGGACAGGTGCGTAGCCCCACTATTTCTCTCGCAGTTTAGGATCTCCATTTGCCGAGAGATTTAGCCATCACATTCAATGTGGTGAAGAGCACCTGTGTACACCAATTTATGCCAACTTGATGGTCCATTCTCTTAGTGCAATGATGGCTAGGTGCCATTCTAAATTTTGATCCAGCACTACATGCAGAGCCACAAGATCCGAGGAAAGTCGGCGCTGATGCAGCTCCCGTGGGGACAGGTGCGTAGCCCCACTATTTCTCTCGCAGTTTAGGATCTCCATTTGCCGAGAGATTTAGCCATCACATTCAATGTGGTGAAGAGCACCTGTGTACACCAATTTATGCCAACTTGATGGTCCATTCTCTTAGTGCAATGATGGCTAGGTGCCATTCTAAATTTTGATCCAGCACTACACGCAGAGCCACAAGATCCGAGGAAAGTCGGCGCTGAAGCAGCTCCCGTGGGGACAGGTGCGTAGCCCCACTATTTCTCTCGCAGTTTAGGATCTCCATTTGCCGAGAGATTTAGCCATCACATTCAATGTGGTGAAGAGCACCTGTGTACACCAATTTATGCCAACTTGATGGTCCATTCTCTTAGTGCAATGATGGCTAGGTGCCATTCTAAATTTTGATCCAGCACTACATGCAGAGCCACAAGATCCGAGGAAAGTCGGCGCTGATGCAGCTCCCGTGGGGACAGGTGCGTAGCCCCACTATTTCTCTCGCAGTTTAGGATCTCCATTTGCCGTGAGATTTAGCCATCACATTCAATGTGGTGAAGAGCACCTGTGTACACCAATTTATGCCAACTTGATGGTCCATTCTCTTAGTGCAATGATGGCTAGGTGCCATTCTAAATTTTGATCCAGCACTACATGCAGAGCCACAAGATCCGAGGAAAGTCGGCGCTGATGCAGCTCCCGTGGGGACAGGTGCGTAGCCCCACTATTTCTCTCGCAGTTTAGGATCTCCATTTGCCATGATATTTAGCCATCACATTCAATGTGGTGAAGAGCACCTGTGTACACCAATTTATGCCAACTTGATGGTCCATTCTCTTAGTGCAATGATGGCTAGGTGCCATTCTAAATTTTGATCCAGCACTACATGCAGAGCCACAAGATCCGAGGAAAGTCGGCGCTGATGCAGCTCCCGTGGGGACAGGTGCGTAGCCCCACTATTTCTCTCGCAGTTTAGGATCTCCATTAGCCGTGAGATTTAGCCATCACATTCAATGTGGTGAAGAGCACCTGTGTACACCAATTTATGCCAACTTGATGGTCCATTCTCTTAGTGCAATGATGGCTAGGTGCCATTCTAAATTTTGATCCAGCACTACATGCAGAGCCACAAGATCCGAGGAAAGTCGGCGCTGATGCAGCTCCCGTGGGGACAGGTGCGTAGCCCCACTATTTCTCTCGCAGTTTAGGATCTCCATTTGCCGTGAGATTTAGCCATCACATTCAATGTGGTGAAGAGCACCTGTGTACACCAATTTATGCCAACTTGATGGTCCATTCTCTTAGTGCAATGATGGCTAGGTGCCATTCTAAATTTTGATCCAGCACTACATGCAGAGCCACAAGATCCGAGGAAAGTCGGCGCTGATGCAGCTCCCGTGGGGACAGGTGCGTAGCCCCACTATTTCTCTCGCAGTTTAGGATCTCCATTTGCCATGATATTTAGCCATCACATTCAATGTGGTGAAGAGCACCTGTGTACACCAATTTATGCCAACTTGATGGTCCATTCTCTTAGTGCAATGATGGCTAGGTGCCATTCTAAATTTTGATCCAGCACTACATGCAGAGCCACAAGATCCGAGGAAAGTCGGCGCTGATGCAGCTCCCGTGGGGACAGGTGCGTAGCCCCACTATTTCTCTCGCAGTTTAGGATCTCCATTTGCCGTGAGATTTAGCCATCACATTCAATGTGGTGAAGAGCACCTGTGTACACCAATTTATGCCAACTTGATGGTCCATTCTCTTAGTGCAATGATGGCTAGGTGCCATTCTAAATTTTGATCCAGCACTACATGCAGAGCCACAAGATCCGAGGAAAGTCGGCGCTGATGCAGCTCCCGTGGGGACAGGTGCGTAGCCCCACTATTTCTCTCGCAGTTTAGGATCTCCATTTGCCGTGAGATTTAGCCATCACATTCAATGTGGTGAAGAGCACCTGTGTACACCAATTTATGCCAACTTGATGGTCCATTCTCTTAGTGCAATGATGGCTAGGTGCCATTCTAAATTTTGATCCAGCACTACATGCAGAGCCACAAGATCCGAGGAAAGTCGGCGCTGATGCAGCTCCCGTGGGGACAGGTGCGTAGCCCCACTATTTCTCTCGCAGTTTAGGATCTCCATTTGCCGTGAGATTTAGCCATCACATTCAATGTGGTGAAGAGCACCTGTGTATACCAATTTATGCCAACTTGATGGTCCATTCTCTTAGTGCAATGATGGCTAGGTGCCATTCTAAATTTTGATCCAGCACTACATGCAGAGCCACAAGATCCGAGGAAAGTCGGCGCTGATGCAGCTCCCGTGGGGACAGGTGCGTAGCCCCACTATTTCTCTCGCAGTTTAGGATCTCCATTTGCCGTGAGATTTAGCCATCACATTCAATGTGGTGAAGAGCACCTGTGTACACCAATTTATGCCAACTTGATGGTCCATTCTCTTAGTGCAATGATGGCTAGGTGCCATTCTAAATTTTGATCCAGCACTACATGCAGAGCCACAAGATCCGAGGAAAGTCGGCGCTGATGCAGCTCCCGTGGGGACAGGTGCGTAGCCCCACTATTTCTCTCGCAGTTTAGGATCTCCATTTGCCGTGAGATTTAGCCATCACATTCAATGTGGTGAAGAGCACCTGTGTATACCAATTTATGCCAACTTGATGGTCCATTCTCTTAGTGCAATGATGGCTAGGTGCCATTCTAAATTTTGATCCAGCACTACATGCAGAGCCACAAGATCCGAGGAAAGTCGGCGCTGATGCAGCTCCCGTGGGGACAGGTGCGTAGCCCCACTATTTCTCGCAGTTTAGGATCTCCATTTGCCGTGAGATTTAGCCATCACATTCAATGTGGTGAAGAGCACCTGTGTACACCAATTTATGCCAACTTGATGGTCCATTCTCTTAGTGCAATGATGGCTAGGTGCCATTCTAAATTTTGATCCAGCACTACATGCAGAGCCACAAGATCCGAGGAAAGTCGGCGCTGAAGCAGCTTCCGTGGGGACAGGTGCGTAGCCCTGCTGTTTCGCTCGCAGTTTAGGATCTGCATTGGCTAAGCACAAAAAAAGTTATAAGCACCTGGTTACAGCAGATCTGGTTACTGCAGACATTTGGTTACAACCAGGGTTAAATGTTTCCGGATAAATACAAATAGTACCCGTCGGTAAAATTTTGATATATTCAGGTTTATCTGATAAACTCAAAATCCTGATGCCTCCCCCCTCCCGCTGAAAACACATAAAAGACAAAAAAAAAAAGACAATATTTTAAGCTTGATCAGGGCACAGGGTCAGTGGTCCTGGGAAAATGGCACCACAGTTTCCTTTTAAATCTCTGACCATTATCAAAAGGGCTTACAGTCTATCTCGTCAGAGTTCATTGAGGACAGCAGGTCATTGTACTTTCAAGTCGCGACAAAAGCCATTATTTTGGTTTTCAGTTTGGGCCATACTATTTGTGCTTTAGAGGAAAGATTGTGGTTTTCTTACAGTGAAAGCTGTGGAACAAAGAGAGTGCATAAAATAGGAAGAGGGGCAGTTGGAACTTCTTTTAGGGGCGAAGCCCCTTAGGGTCTAGCCTTGTCCGTCCGGCGTCCGTACTCACATCAATTTCCATCCCATCTGTCTTCTTAAAAAAAGAAAAAATGTTTGCGCAGTCGACAGGATTTGAACCTGTGCGGGGAGACCCCAATGGATTTCTAATCTATCGATCGCCTTAACCACTCGGCCACAACTGCGGGACAAGTAGGGGGCTCTGAGAGGCGGTAGTAACTTAAGAGCTGGGGATGTCATGGATGAAACGTTGCATGTAGCCGCTCAACGTCTATACAGGAGAGGGCGCTGCGATCAGATGCGTATATAATTGTGTTAAACGTTCTGTGCATTGGCTCAACGTTTATAGATGAGAGGGCGCTGCGGTCAAATGCTCAACTGCGTATATAACCACGTTCCATACCACACATTCTCTTTCTGACATGGACCGTTGATTTAAGCGGTGGAGATGCGTTCCCATGGCTTTTAGCGGATATCCGCTAGAAGAACCACTGGCTCTGCATTTCACCGATCATAAAGCAGTAATAATGAAGTCGAAACGCAACCCGGAACTCAGCACTACCTATGAGCAATAAAAAAAAATCAGCACCAGCAGCACTACCGTATTTGCACGAATATAACACGACCACGAATATAATGCGAGGGCAGGTTTTGATGCCCTCAAAAAGAAAAAAAAATATTATTACTATTATAACCCGAACCGAGGCCGCGTCAATTTCTCGCACTCGGGGGCATAGCAGAAGTGAAAAGTCAATGGAAATAGAAGAAATATCAGTTTATGTTTTGACTACACTCATCCTCACAGTTCAGGTCCTTCCGTTTACAATCCGCTTGGCGACTACGCAGATAAGCAGCAGCACGGCACCTGCTTGTCTGGTAGTTCTCTTTTCTTGCGAGCTCCTCGGCAGCCCACAATCCAAACAAGGCACAAAGCAGAAGCACCAACTCACAAACACCAGATCATTCTGGAGCAGAAACTAAACAATGTGCAGGCAGAAAAAAAGACTACTGAATCCGATACACGATCACACTTCTTGCTCTGGTCCCTCTGCATAAACAAATGCCTCGTGTTCCACGATTGCGTAAACGCGGTTGGTGGACTTGGCTTAGCTTGTGTTGACTTGACTCGGCCCGGCTTGGCTTGGCTCGAATTGGCCAGTGCCCGCATGACGCGCGCGCGCGCAGAGTTTCTGCGGCGTGCGCGCGTTGTACAAACACAAAAGCGATAAAAATGCTTTTTTATGTTTTCTATTCTCCCCTTCACGTGGCCCAATAGCTAATAAATTCCCTTCCACACCCCCCATTTCTTTTCCCACCGGATATTTTGCATTGAGCCGGAGGGATGTCTTTCTCCTCTGGCTATCTCCAGACTCGCGCGCCTTGTGGCTGAACTCGATTCCGAATATAACGCGAGGTGCGTTTTGGAGCACGTAATTTCGAAAAAAAACTCGCGTTATATTCGTGCAAATACGGTACCTATAAACAAAATCAGTATCATCAGCAGAACTTCTCCCCATTCAACATCATTCACCACGTGGAGATGTGGTCATTTTTTTTCGTTACCACTACATCGTGCGGCCGCTGTTAGGTTGATGAATAGGATGGGATGAATAGGGGCTTCCCAGCGACTACCTCCGGGAGTTTATTGATTTTAAGGTAATTTATCGAAGCAACACTTCCGTGCAATTTTTGTCGTGGAATAAATGAGCATTGAAAAGGGCAATAGCACCAATGCCAAATCCAGCTAAAGAAATATTATGTAATGCAGGTGCATTTTATACTCTTTATCTGGCATACGTTTACACCCGGATATTTCTTATATATATTTATTTTTAATAGTAAATATTGCAAAATTATATGCCGAATTTTAAAGAATATGGAATCAAACCTAAGTAAACTCCTATAAACTTAGAATTTTCGGCAAAAACTAAAATTCGAAAGCGTAGAATCCTGGTTATAACACACCAATTTGTGGAATTTGGTTGGGCTTCCTATCCGTGCCAGTGAGCCAACTTTGCTAATTACAGATTCTGTTTATTTATTTATTTAAATACCTTACATGCCCTCAAGGGGCATTATGTAAGGGGGGGGGGGAGGAGTTACAAAGCAGAATAAATCAAAAGTATAGAGCACAAAAACAACAAAATCAACCATACTTAACTAGACATGCGACAAGGGTCCCAAAAAGTAGTCAAGTCTTGTCGAAAAAGAACTTGATCACGTTGACAAACATTGTTATCAGACAAGTCGTTCCAGTCAGTTCCTGTTCAGACATGCAGCGCAGCGCTACAAGCATAGCGCTGACCTCGCGCTAAGCACATGCCGACGGAAGCGTTCACCAGCTTTGTATCGCACCGTCAAAACTGTTGCTCATGGCATACGATAAGTAGCTGACGACACGTGAGCAGCGCTACATCAGCGCTTCGCTGCATGTGAGAACCGGCCTTTAAGCAGCCATGTCGCCCCGAAAGATGAATACTATTTGGCTGGACGCAATCGGGCGTTCGCGTGGCGACAAACGTGTCCAGGTATGTTCTCGCATTTTGCTCCGGAGGCCTTCGAGATACGCACCGGGTGCACCGAACATCCGCGGCTGAGACACAGCTTTTACGTAAAAAAACCTGCCACAGGCAGGTTATTATGTAACTGTCCGCAGAAGCCTTCGGATGTCCGAATTCTGCTTTAACCGACAGATTTTTCTCTGCGTCCGAACCATCTTACGTAAAGTTGTTTGAATTGAATGTGTACCGTTATCGTAAATCTTGGCTCGTGATTGCGCCTTTGTAGGTCATCTTATTTGTTTTGCTGGAGAGACGCAAACGACGGGCATAACAAAATCGTTTGCATATTCCGCATACTTCGCAAAAGCACTTCCCCGCTCACCTTCGGAAAAGCGCGAAACGCGGAGTCCGCACCGTCCTGACTTCCCAGTCTTTTACCTGCTTTAGAGCAGTTTTTACCTGCTAGCAGGGCCGTAACCAGGGGGGGGGGTTAGGGGGTTCTGACCCCCCCCGAAATTTTTTTCTGGGTACGGCCCTGGTCGGTGCACTTGCAGCCAGCCAATTTTAATCTCCACCTCTGCGCACGCGCAGTGGCGCCGGTCGGTTACTGGACACCAAACCGGGACCGGTTCTCCGGTTTGCTGCAACTCTCCATTATATGCCACCGATGCACATAATTCGTAGGCGAAAATAAGACAATAGACACTTTCAAAATGGCCGCCGTTGTCCACGAAAACCCCCCCCCCCCCCCCCCCCCCCCGAAATTTTTTTCTGGGTACGGCCCTGCCTGCTAGTAGGTACCGTATAATCGCGTGTAAGGGCCGCACCCTTGTAAGGGCCGCACCCCCGTATTTAAAACAAAGTATTGCAAAAAAAATAAAATTAGAGAAATTATTCGTGTATGCGCCGCACCCCCTTGCTTTTGAGGCGCGCCGACTGTAAAGCACGAAAGTTTCTATGAATATATATCGCTAGGTGGCGCTAGCCACCACCCAAGCACGTAGCGGCGCGTCTTTGCATTCCCGATATCTGCTCTCCACTCATCCGTATCACCGTATGGCACAATGGTTGCCGACCTCGATTGTGGTCGGCTGCACCGTCTGGGTGCGTTTATGTTGCGGCCGGAAGACATTGAGAAAAGATAAAGGATATGTCAGCTTCCGTGGCAAGCGTGAGGAATGGGGATTCAGCGGGCTCGGCTCGCGCGTGCACTCAGGGTTCTGAACGCCACAGTACGCTCTGGGGAGGTTTTCTTTTGTTCTTCGATTTGTGTCAAAGCGTCGTGATTTGTCTGCCTTTTCGTGTAATCAGAGCTATTGGCAAGTACCCAGTGTGTCGAACCGAAAGAAATACGGGTTCGGTTACGGTTCAGGTTCAGGTAAATTAATTTTGTTCCGGTTCAGTTCCGGTTCAATTAATTTGATCCGCGAACCGGTTTGCGAACCGGTTCGGGGCGCTGAACCGGTTCGCGAACCGATTTGGAAATTATAAATGACAAATTGCAACATCAAAATAAATTACAAAAAAAACATCTGAAATCAGCACATACGAAACGGGATACATCGTAGTGTAAGGCTCAGGGATTTCTACCAGGAATGGTTTCTTTATGTGCACTCAAAGGTTACCTCACCGACGTTTACGCATTCGGACTTCATCCAATTGGGTCCGACGCAGTAGCTGTAAAATCCGCGACCTCCTTACAAACCCACTTACAAGTAGAACTCGCTAACTATCCCGCCACCTCGGCGTGTAAGCAATTGAAGGAACAGTGGGGAGAAAATACAGCTTTCTTTATTTGAACTAGCCTTCGGTAACTCAAATTAGACCCTTAAAGAAGTTTTCATTAAACAAGATTCGGTATATAAAAAACACTTCACCGAACGCAACGCCAGAAGGACGTAATAGGATAAATATTAAAATAGAAGAGTTCGCTGTCTCACAAATATGTTAGCTTC